TGGCTGCGGGCTTTGGCTGCCCGCAGGTCACAGGAGGAACAGCAGAGCTGATCTGTTCCTCGGGACCCTTTTTCAGTGTACCGTATCAAATTCAACGAGAGCTACGCGGAAATGAACAGAGGGTCGAACGAGTGGAAGACCGTCATCGGTGGAGTGCTGTTCTTTCTTGGTGTCACCGGTCTCTTCCTCATTTGGCAGAAACATTACAGTAAGTAAATGCCACACGGTGTTAGCTCTTAAATTAAGTTTGGTACCTGATGGGAAATTAGGGAATTCTCCATCAGCTGCTCCGTGGGGGGTCGGAACGCTGAGTCGAACGGCCGTCCCGCTGCCCTCCTGGCAGCCGCTGCTGGCCAGTCCCTGGAAGCTCCGTTCTGGCGTTGTAACTTTGCGGAATCAGCGGGTACGCGGGTGTAAATCCCGAGGAAGCTGGCTTGTAGAAGGGTGACGGTGGTGGAGAGAGCGTTGGTGGGAGGAGAGGAAGGGGAGGAGGAGGAGCAGTGGCACACTAACGATCCCAGCGCTTCCCCTCGCTGCGAAACCTGCTGTCAGGAAAGCTTATCGCCGCCTTGGTGGAAAACATTGGGGTTTCTGCCGGGTTTGGCTTCCTTCCCAGCTAGCGATGCCACCTCGAGGGAGCCCTCCAGCCGCGGGGAGCAGGGCTCGCCGTTAGACGGGCTGCTCTCCGTCTCGAGGCTCTGTCTCCGCGCGGTGACGGCCGAGGAGGAGGTGGGGGTCTCGGTACAAGCCTTTCCCGACGAACAAAGCTGCTGGAGAATCAGCACGGGGATCTGGGCTGAATGCTTTGAAAATGGGCTTGGGGGGACGTCGGTTTGAGCAGGCGGTGGCGTGCGCGTGGTCTGCGCTGGTGGCCTCGGGGCATGAAGGCTGTTGTTAGTGAAACTCCCCCCTTGCTGATGTGATCCCGCCTGCTGTTGAACCGCAGTGTACGGCCCCATCCCGCACACCTTCTCTGACGAGTGGCTGTCGATGCAGACGAAGAGGATGCTGGACATGCGGATGAATCCCGTGGAGGGCATCTCTTCCCAGTGGGATTTTGAGAAGAACGAGTGGAAGAAGTGAAGCAACTCAGTGGTACCTGCTCTGCTTGAACGTGAAATGATTCCATCGCCTGTGTGTGACCTCGTTGCTTATCTACTGGAACAACCTCTCCACCTGCATAGATGCTAATAAATGTCTGGTTAACTTGAAAGTTCCTGTTTATTGGTCTCCCAACGTGCGTGTTGCGATGGTGATCTGCAGCGTGGGCGGCGGGGCAGGGCCTTCCCGGCAGCCCTGTGGCGGTGGGAGATGATCCACCCTGGCGTGAGGTGACTGCTCCAGGGGACAGCGGCAGCTGGGGGAGGGAGAGGGACGCTGCGCTCTGGGGAAGCGTCTCGGAGCTTGTATTAAACGCAGAGGTCTGAGCAAGTGCTGGTTCGTGGCTGAACGTTTCCAGGGCAAGCTGGCGCCTTTCCTTCGCTCCACCTGTGGCTGCCGAATTTCGCCCTTCAGCTGTCTGCTGGCGTGTCCACTGCAGGCACGCATGAAAACACCCCTCCAAGGACCGAAACTGCTCCAACAGGTTTCAGCTTCGGTTGGCTTTTGTTCCTGACCGTGGGTTCAAATCCGCGTGTGTATTCAGTAGCTGTGAGGGAAGCCTGGGGAGTCTCGGCCGCTGGCGGTGGCCCGGTGCGCTGGGGGCTGGCCAGCCTTTCCCTCCCAGCCCGAGAAGCTCGGGGAAGGTTCTTACGGTGAGACGATTCGGTGGGAGCAATCGATGAGCTCCCCTTCCTGCATCAGAAAGGTCCCTTAGGTGAAATGTTTGTCTCCGGGGTGCTGAGAAGGACGTTATGGGGACGACGGGATCGCAGACCGGCGATGGCGGCGGGGTTTTCGCTGCGCTCGCCGTTGGCCTTGCTCTGCTCCCCGTGCAGCTCGTGGCTCTGGCGGAACGATGGCGCTGAGCTGGGACGGGGGTTTCTGCGCTGCAAGTTGGTGCTTTGACGCTCGTCCTGGGATGGCAGCTCCCCGCATCCCCCTCCCTGGAGGGAGGAGAAGGTGGGCTTCTGCTCAGTGCTCCAGTGCTCGTGCCACGCTCTGGTTTTCGTGGTAGGCGCCCTGTTCTGGATTCTGTTCCTGTGGCTGGGAGGAACCCCAGAACGTCCTCCTCTTCACCCTCCCCAAACGGCTGCGAAAGCCCCAGGGAGGCCGGGAGAGAAACCTGAGCCTCGCCACGGCCCTGGATCCTCATTTCATCCTCCCCTGCCCGGCACCAGCCGCTCTCCTCAGCCCCCTTCACCAGCCGGAGCAGCCTGCCGCGGGTAAGCGAGCCGAGTGTGCTGGGGCTCTGCACGCTCCCCTCCTGACCGCGGTCCCCTTCCTCCTGCTCACAGCAGTGGGATGCGCTGCTGGAGGGGGGCAGATCTCCCCATCTGGGATTTTTGGATGCTTGTTTGCAGGTAGCCTGGGAGAACAAGAAGCCACCTGAATCCTGATCCTGGGGAGAGAAAAACCATGGGCGATGGAATGAGCAAGGTACTTGGGGGATGGTGGCCAGCCTGTCCTCCTTGGGCAGGACCTTCCTCCTGCACCCCAGGGGGATGTTTGTTCCTGGCGACCACGATGCCCTAAGTACAACCGTTTGCATCTTCCCTTTCTCATTCCCCTTTGAAACTTCAAGCACTTAAGGAGAGAAGAAAGCAAACAGCGATCCCCGGGTTTGTGTCCGAGGTGATGAGCTACATATCTGCGGGTGTGAGAGAAGTGACAGCCGGCTTTGGGTGCTCGTCCCTTGGGCGCTTAGGCCGTGGCATCAGCGTCCTCAGGGCTGACGGGGGTCCCTGCGGGGGAAT